TCTTTGTATTGTTTGTCTGCCCCTTTAGAGGACAGCATTCAAATAGCATACTCAAATTACCATGTTCCCAGCATTAACAATAAAGCCTCAATAAAGCCTCTTGGCCGTGGAATGAGTGACTAAATGCAGATCTGTAAGTACACGTCTGCTAAATCCAAAGTGACTGTAGCTCTTCTGTTTCACTTTGCTAACTTCATCTATATGGTATGAAACCACTGATAAACCATGGTATTTGTTCACATCGACTTCTTAAGGCTCTGTTAAGTTGCTGGAGTGCAGTTTCTTTCTATAAATATAAGATCTCTGCAGTCACAGACTGTGGGCTTTGTTAGCCTTTCCAGATTTTGAGCCAAAAATAAGCTGGTGAAACAGATGGGGAAAGTAGGAAGCTGGAATTACTGCATGGGCAAAGTGAAGGCTTTTGCGTAATCCAAACTGCAGATTTTCATGCTTTCAAGCACTTCCTTTGAAATTAAAATTTATATCTCTCAAATTTCTCATGCTTTTATACATACAACCTTGCTGTTAGAATGTTTTTGTATTTTGGGTTCGTAAATTTAAAGGACAATCAAATGCCTTTTCGTGGACACACTAAGATTTATAAATCAGTGATCTGTCATTACTGATACAGCTTGCTTCTGCTTTTACCAGCAGACAATTAGAGTAGATGAATTATAAAGAGCAGACAAAAGTTTCTTTAATGGAAAAACTAAATTGAGGGTGAGAAACCTTTGTTTCTTTTAACGTGATAGTACATTTTAATTGTAGTGCTTGTTTATGCTCTTAGAAGCATTGCAGAAATAAGTTTTGCAGAGACACTATTTTAAAAAGTGTTTTATTAAGCACTGTAGAGGCCAGTTTTTGGTGTATGTTCATGAACTTTGTTAGACAAAATGATGTCATTTTTTCCTTTTGATCAATTCAAAACCACAGGAGTAAATTTATTGTCATCTTCTAGGCTTGTATATTCATCTGATAAAAATCTTCAAGCTGAGGAGCAGGCTATGATGAAAAAAGCATTGGAAGCCAAAATAATACAGGAAAACAACACTGCTACTCTTCAGAACACTCAAACAGATGTAAACAGCCTTGGAGATGGTGAAAGCACACCCGTTAATCAGAATAGACTGAGTGGAGCTGTGCAGAAAGAAGTTGCTTGTTCACGTTGTACTGAAGAGGAAATTCCTGAAGAAGCCGTCGATGCAGAGAGCAACAAAGATACTGCAGGTAGGTTTGGAACTGTACCTTTGGTTGGTTGGTTTTGTTGGGTCTTTTTCCTTTTAAATGATTATCCAAAGATTTATACAGATGTAAAAATGCAGTTAAAGGTTAGAGCTATTGTGAGAACACGGCTTACATGGGTGTTCTTTGCCATGGTCTACCTCATTCTCTCACGCTTTGAAGAAATGAATTGCTGCAGAAGTTTGGCAGGAGTGGTTCTCAGCCAGTGTGGGGCGTGACAAATCTGAGAGGACTCGTCGGGCACCGGGCTTGTTCATCTTTTCTCTGCAATGCAGCAAACCTGAATCCTTCCCACATGGGACTGCCAAAAGCAGTGTCTCTCCATTCTTTTCCTTTTCACCCCAGTTCCACTGTTGTTGTTTGAGGATTTTGGAATCTTTCAAGATTTTCCCTACTACAACTGTGAATGAAATAAGTAACATGAGGAAATGTGTAACTGCACCTACACCAGAGGTGTTGGCTACTGCAGCTGTGTCAGTCAGACAGGATCAAGCAACAAATCTGTTGAGGCAGAAGCCTGTAGCACTACATGACCCTGAACTTCTGTAGTCTGCTTTTCTTTAATGCAAGGATACCAGATCTCTGTAGGAAAAGTGAACTGGCTACGTAGTCTTGCAAAGAGTAACTGTAGCACTTCATAGATATCAAATATGAAGCATTGGTCAAATTTCTAATCTCTCAAGTCAAAATGAGAAGTAAAATGCAAGGTCTCAAAAACCTTTCAGGGCAAATTCTGGCTTGAATATGCAATATGAAATATTTTCATTATGTCATACTCTTCTTTTCAAGCATTTTAAGTTGTCTATACTGTCAGTAGTCTAGCCTACACAAAGTGAAAATAGCTGTTTCTTCCTATCTGCAGGTAATTCCAAACTGGAAACTGCATCTGCGTTAGGAGAAGACTTAATGATGCTCTACAAGAAATGCTCTTGTCCAGATATTACTATTTGCGTAGAAGGCAAAGATTTTCAAGCTCACAGGTATGGAAGTATTTACTGTAGAGTTTTGCAACTGAAATCCTTCTGGTATAAAGCACTGCTGGTACCGTATATGGTAAGTTATTGCTGGTGGTGTTACCTCGCTGTGAACTGGTACAGTTTTTAGGTCTCACGTGAGAAGTGGCCATACGTCGATATTAATGAAAAGTATTTATCTTATTAATGGCAACTGATGACAACAATTGCATTTTTAGCACTTCTGAGACTGCCATTGTAAACTCACACGAGTATATAAATACTTGTGTATAAATACCGTGTAGATTTTCTTTGCTAACCTTTTTAAAATAATCTGTGCTCTTTGACGAAAATAGCAAGTCTATTAATAAACTATTCAGCTATTAATGCTGAATTAAATTACCATAGAGGAAGAAGATTTCTGGAGTAGTAATTATGTAGAATAGATTTTAGAATCTGTGCATACAGAGTCTGATTTTACTTTCATGACTTTAGTCATGTAGATGTAAAGACTGTCAGCACCCTTTATTAGCTCTAAAGTCCAAGACCATTTAAGAACTCTGGCTTCTTGGACTTCTGTAGCTTGGGAAAGCAAATTAAAGCATCAGTTCCACTTCTTGTACCTTAGATAAGAGTCCATTTGCATTTGAGATAGCTAATTAGCCCATATTTTGTTCCTTTGAGTGTATATATAACTGAGAGCAATTATAAAAAACGTCTGCTACTTCTAGTACAAAACCAGTGTGGGACATTACTGACGTTACAAATAACACCTTTACAGAAGAGATGCCATAATGGGGGGGTGTATTTTATTTTTTTGAACAGTAGAATTAAGGTATATACTAAATTACCAGACTGTGGTATAGGTAGGCATGTTTTCTTCTAGTCTACGCTATAAGCAGGCATATTCTCAGGTCCATAACTTTTGAGAAATAAGTATTTGAATGCAGCAAGAAATTCGACGGATTTCCATCAGCAGAGTTTAATTCAGGCCACTTACTGCCTGAAGCGACGTATCTGGTCTAACCAGCATCAAAAAAAAGGCAGTAAATCTTAGATAAAGCGAGTATGTTCTGAAACAGGCACAAGATTTGCTTGTTTTAGTACTGCATCATGTGAATGGTAACGAATAAAGGAAATCCAACTTTGGGTATAATTGTGAAAGCACCAGTATGATTTATTTAGTATAATGAGGTTTTTTAAGTTCTCAAACAGGAGACAGTTTAAGTCCCTCCCTTCTCCCACTCACCTATCTCAGTATTCCTTACTTCCTTGTGAAGTGGCATGAACTTCCAATAGACCTCACTGCGTGACCTGCAGCTCTCCAGAGAATTGCCAAGTTGTTGTTGATATCTATAGATATCAAATATGAAGCATTGGTCATATGCATATGTAATCTTACAGAGCTCTGGGTGGAGCTAGTCAGTTTGGTCAGTAATAAACTTGTGGCACAAACCAGGACAGGAGCAAAGCACAGATCAATTTACTTCAAATTCATTTGGTATCTCCGTGTATTTTATAAGGTAAAATTTTATCAATATATATTTAGGTGATGCATACTTGTCCACATTCTACTGAGTAGCTGTCTTATGTAAAAAGAGTCTTTGATACGTCCACTTCAGCTATGCCCCTGCAGTCAGTCTAGCCTGTTCTAGCCTAGTCCATCTGTTCACGACTAAAATTCATTTGGGAGAGGATGACAAAATTGGAGACAGGGTATTTTGTATCTCCATGATACTGCGTTGTCATGCCTTAAAAAAACGAGATTGTGTGTGTATTCAGAGTTGTGATGTGATACCCATTTACATGGGACATTTCACTGAGATACAAAACATTCTGTAAGACTTCATTATGATTATGATAGCTGGATGAATCACAGGAGGAAGGAGCAAGAAGTTCCTAATTTAAAATATTGAGACTTTTGAAGTAGGAGGAGGGAAGAGAGATTCCAGAATATATGACTAGAAAAAGAGACCATAAATAGCATTCTTCTTACTTCTTCCTACACAAAATGAGTGCTCTGAAGCACTCTAAGAGCCAACAAATACTTGCAGAAGAAAGGATTCTCATGCCTAATATAACACTTATACTTCCTGTGGCAGAAAAAGCTATGACAAAAAATAATTTTATAAATAATAGGATGCTTAGTAAACGTCAGGAAAAAATGGTATGTATGAGAATATTATAATGGTATGTATGAGAACATTATCTACGGCTGCAGTAGTCCAGAAAAGAGATGTAAAGGCTAAACACCATCACTGGCATGAATCTGGAAGGCTGAATTCATAAAGCAGTTTTCATCCACTCTCTTCTCTTCCTTTTTGCCCTTCCACCTTAAGAAGCTCCTGTTGCAAAGGTCTTCTCCTCTGGTTTTTGCTAGACTGTGATACTGGTGGAGATACTGAGCTACCCATGGTCTGGGGTTTCTTACTGGCTTTGATGGAAGTAGCAGTAAATGGAATTAGCCCCTTTATGGCCAGTTATGCCTTTTTAATATACAAATATAAGGGAAATAAGTCTAAACAGAAATAATTGATAAGTCCAACACTACAAATAGTGTTGGAAAGACACATCATGTTGTTGTATCATATGTTAGTATCAAGTTTGTTTGGCTTTTAGGATGTGCTGTTAGGTGGCCAGCCCATTTCGAATGGGAGAAGTTTTATACTTTTTTTTATTGAATAAAGACACATTTTGTAGCATAAAAAGAAGGTAAGATATTCACGATATGGTTATTTGGCTAAAATGAGGCTGTATAAACAAGGCTACTTACTGTTGTTTGGTAAAACAGAAGAAATAAATTTGCAATTTTATATCATGTAAAGGGAAACTACTTGTGATAATAGATTTCCTCTGTGTGAATGTCAAGGCCTACTAGACACAAGCTTTAACTGAAAATTTGAGAGTACTGTTTGTTTTTTCCCTAGCATATTTTGAAAATCCAAACATACTTGAAGAAAAGGTGTGCAGTATACAAATGACACTTTAATGCATAAAGGGCAAAGATTTAAGTCAACGTTATCAAAGAGTCTCATAATAAATGTTTGTATCTAGTGGAATGATGTTTACTTTTTCTCTCTCAGGGCCGTTTTATGTGCCAGATCTAGTTATTTTGCTGCTATGCTGAGTGGAAGTTGGGCTGAAAGCTCCCAGGAGCACGTCACTCTTCAAGGGTAAGTGTTGCCTCTGCAAGTCGTGGGGGAGCAAAGGTAGGCAATTTAAAGTTACTGCAAATATGTAACAACTGTGCTGTGAATAAAGCACTGAAGATTAATCTGCCTTGACACCTTTCTTCAACCTCATACATTTCCTGAGTAGTTTTGACTTCAGTATGAAACAGCATGTGTAGTGTGTTTGTTAATATTGTCAGATGGTTCAGGGAAGAAGTCTTTTTCATCATCAGAAGAGTACTCATCCTTTTTTGTAGAGTACGTTCTGGCACTCACAGTCTATTTTACAATTCTCTTTTCTCACTTCAAGTTGTACATGTCACAAAAAGTATTGTGAATGTCTGAACAGTGTCATTTATTTTCATACCTGTTTGTACAATAAGACTATATTTACAATGTAAAGACCAATAAACAATGGCAATTAATGATATTTCAGTATCATACACTATACCAGTTTTCTCTGGTGTGCTTGTTCGCAGTGGCTTCCTGTGTGAGAGCTGAAAATAGCGGAGCTGGCAGTGTAGGATGAAGACTTAAACTTTGTAGATAAACTGGGGACTGCCAGGTTAGGTTTTTTCAGTATCATAAAAATCAATTGAAATATATTAAATTTTCTTTAAAAGCAAATATTGATACCTGTACATGTTAGCTTTTTAGTTCAGGCACGATGTTGGCTGACTCGGCTTTCTTCAGAAAGAGCTGTGTACCTTACAGTGTTGCAAAATATAATTGCTTTGTGTTAATATAAAATTGCTTGGCCAAATGATACTTTCTCATAATTTTGTCCAACCTTCCTGATTTTGAAGCAATCTTATCTGTTGATTTGGTTATACCTTCCTAATCCTTATAAAACCATATACCTTATTTGAGTCCTGATCTGTTATGCTATACAGAGTATGTTTTAGAGGCTGATAGTCAACATTTACCCTGGCATTTACACTTCACTCCATCCAGCTGATTTCTCTATGGCTAAGACATTTTCATCCCTATTTTTCAGTAGAGGCTTTCTCCTGAGAAGTACTTAATCTTTAGATGAGTATATACTGATAATTTCTGTTACTAAGAATCGTTTATTTATTTTACTTTTTCTAGTTCAGTTTTCTGCTTGGTGCAGATTGCCATGCTGTCTTTTTAAACACTTGCGGAGTACATATGGCTTATTCTGAAATAATGAAAATTCTGCCTAAGATAACAGCTGGCAAGACTGTGAGGAAACCCTTTCTTGCTGATTTTATGGCTATCATGTACTGCTAATTCATAGAGAGGCAACTGTGTTGGTTTTGCTTCTAAACATGTTGCAACCTTTTTTTTCCTTTTATTTTTAGTCATCGCTCTCTGTTGCTTAAACATGGCTAATGTTTCAAAGGGTTCAATCTGCATTCCTGTATTCCACTTACAGTAATGTAAACTCATGTGTTCTGAAGATTAAACTACGCACACAGACACACGTACTTAAGTACAATAATGTACAGTTTAGGAGATCACGTCCACCGTTTAAAATAAACAGGCTGTGCCTTTCCCTGGGATGATACGAAGATGCAAACACAGCCCTGTATAGAAAGTCTGTATTTCTTAACCTGAATCTAGGCGTAAACACTTTTTTTCTAAGTATTTTGAGGCAACATTTGTAATTAGCATTGTAGCAAACCTACTATATATTTTTATTGTGGGAAAAGCTTAAATATGTTCCTAAATTTAAGTATTAAAAATAATTATTATTAAGCCTTGTTAAATATATAGTTGATTAATAAGAGTTTCTACTAGTAAAGAGCTTGGGGGTGAGAAAGAGAGCCTTTCTGCATATTACCAGTGTAAACAATCTAGGTATTAGACTGCTTACGACTTAATTTCAAAGATTTAAAGTATTACAGAGTTTCAGCAAGACTATTGAGTAGCAAAATTCACCCAAAATATTTAGATATTTACATTGCAGTAATCTTGAAAACAGCTTTAATTTTATGAGACCATTTGCCTTCCGTTCACAGAATGGCTGGATGATGTATCAGCCTTTGGACCAACTTCCTTTGGCTATGAAATGTGGTGGGCTTTATTCCCGATGTGTCTCTATTTGTTATTTTTTCTTTCTTTTTTACAGCATAAGCCACATAGAAATGAGTGTCATCTTGCATTTTATATATGGAGGTATTCTGGACTTCCCAGACAAAGTTGATGTTGGGTATATGTCGACTTTCATTATTTTCAATTGGAGTCTGTGCTTGTTCTGTATTTTCTCAGTTAAAAGTCAAGAGTAAAATTCTTTGTGTAGTATAAGTAAGACAAAGATGTCAAATATAATGATCATTACACCTAAACATACTTGAGGAGATGCTAAAAATAAAGCTGTTGAAGAACTCTTGTTTATTCGGCAGCTACTGGAAAAGGTAGGCCAGACATTTTTGGAATACTGTACAAGGAGAGTGAAAAACAGGAGCATGGTTTATGCCAAAAGAATTCCCACCTTCCTTTTTGTTTTCAGAATAATATGTACAGCATGTGATTATGTACTTGGAATTCATTTTTAAATAAAGATTTCAACTGATGTGAAGGCTAAGTAGTTAGCCTTAGATCCATAAAAGGTGGTACATAGCAACCAGTGCAAATGTTGGCATTTTTTTCTGGGATAGTTTTTAATCACAGTTTTATACACAATCCTGAATCAGCGAATTAAGTTCTGAACTGTGTGAATTATTCCCTGAAACCATTTATTTATTAGCTGTTGAACTCTGCCACTAAATATTAAAACACTACAATTTCTCAACGTTAGAAATTGTAGTTCAAAGCTTATCTATCTAAAATAACAATATGGATTCGTTTATAATATGCCCCAATGCAATGATTAGGTCATCAATTGATACAGAAATATCAGAAATAGAGAAACTGAGAGTCTTCTAAACAGTTTCTCAGCTAATGGCTGCGATTTACTTTTCTATAGACTGGACCTGGCGGTTGGGTGATTATTATTAAGTCAATACATCTTCCTGTTTGAAGATTATTCTTTGTCAAGTTTCACACTTGGTTATTAGTCTATTTCTGCAGTGAATTCTGTCTGAACAAAGAGATGAAATTAGCATGTAAATTGTCTTCTAAGGAAAATGCATTATGGAAATTATTTTTGATTCCTGTTACTACTGCTTTCTCCTTAGTCGCATGTTGGGCATTGCAGATATGTATGGGCTGGATGGGCTGAAAGAAGTAGCAATCTACGTTTTGAAAAGAGATTACTGCCATTTTTTCCAAAAGGTATGTCACTTCTCGTGCTGCTTTGTGAACTGTAAAGCCTAAGAAGAATTTTCATTCTATTACTTACATATCATATTGCTGAGGTACTTAACAAATATGTGGTCAAGGAGTTAGCTGAAGGCAACAGACCCTATTATTAAGTGTAAATCTGCTCAGTTCACTGGGATTGATGATAGGAGTAAGGCTTGTGGTAGCCATCTACCTATTTATAGAAGCTTGTAAGCCACAACTGATGAAAAGCAGTATTCCACATGATCAATTCAATATATAAGGGAGTGGAGCATCTCCCTTATGCGGAAAGGCTGAGGGAGCTGGGTCTCTTTAGTTTGCAGAAGAGGAGACTGAGGGGAGACCTCATTCGTGTTTATAAATATTTAAAGGGTGAGTGTCACGAGGATGGAGCCAGGCTCTTCTCGGTGACAAACAATGATAGGACAAGGGGTAACGGACACAAACTGGAACACAGGAGGTTCCACTTAAATTGGAGAAGAAACTTCTTCTCAGTGAGGGTGACAGAGCCCTGGCCCAGGCTGCCCAGAGAGGTTGTGGAGTCTCCTTCTCTGCAGACATTCAAAACCCGCCTGGACGCCTTCCTGTGTAACCTCATCTGGGTGTTCCTGCTCCGGCAGGGGGATTGGACTGGATGAGCTTTGGAGGTCCCTTCCAATCCCTAACGTTCTGGGATTCTGTGATGTGCATGGAGTATAATTTAATATATTCCATTGTGTACATAATTGTTCTTAATAGGAATATGGAAATACTGTGTATTTGCATGTCAGATTTCATGGGCACATATTTAGAAAATATTTCTGTTCAATTAAAATTAGTTTAAAAAACAGCTGCTTAGAGTTGAGCTTTTTCATGCTCAACTAGGCTGAATACTACTTGACTGTCGTGTGGAAGCAGATGACTTCCCTATACTGCATAAAGGCAAACAAATACCATGGTAGCTAACAATACTTCCACTTGAACTGAAGACTTTGTACTTCTGTACAGTTTCTGTAAGTCAGAATGTACAATAATTGTGATAATTTGCTAACAACTCTAGCCTGTTCCTGGAAAACAGCAACCTGTACTAGAATGCATGGCTATTGCTCATTCATTGGGAGTGGAAAACCTCTATGCTGCTTGCATGAAGTAAGTATAATAAAACAAATTATGCTTTATGTTTTCCATTTCTCTGTTTTCTGTTGAAATTGTTTTACTTTGTGAGATTGGGTTTATTTTGGCCTATAAAATGTTCACATTTTAAACCTTTTTTCTTAACAATAGTTTAGAAGTATCACTGATGCTAACAAGTGAAGACAGAACTTTTTCCATCCTCCTTACTTAAGAAAGGCTCTTTTTTCAACAGATGGGTAGTAAAACATTTTGCAAAATGTTTCTCAGAGAGAAGCTTTGCCAGTTTACCTACTGAACTTCAGAACAACTGTCTTGTTATGTTGATTAACTCTTTGGTAAGTAGTATATATGAAGTTGATATAAAAATACAGCAGTGTAAATTTTCTCCTTATTTAGCTGTGCAATGTAATTTAAGATAAAATAAATAAGGTATTTTAAGTCTATGGAACAGTTATAATATGTAAAAGTTCCCATTAAAATAAGTTTAAAACCAGACTTTGATGTGCAGCTGTTGTTATGCTTCATGACACCCAGTCTGGTGATAATTGCATCCAAGCCCAGCATAGCAATAAAACACTTGGTTTATGAACCTCAGCTGTGACATCAGAGCACAGCATTGTGCATTCAGACAGTGAGGAACAGCTACATTAGATGGCAGCACACTTTGTTTGTGATGGCCTTTTCCTCTTTGCCTGCATTCGCATTTGGAAAAAAGTGTACTTTGTTTTCCCCAGACTCCAGGTGATCACTGCCTATCAGTGATCACAGCCATTTGTTTACAAGCAAGCTGACTTTTCAAAAATAAAGTAACAGTATAGCATACATATCTTCTGCTTCTCAGATAACTTTACTGAATTGGTCCTTTCAAAGCTCAGCATTAATTTTTTTGTGGCACACATTTACGTTGTTCCAATTTAGATCTGCCTAAACTTAAATAATTTCTAATTGTGCTTCTGTATAAGACTGCCCTCAGAGCTGACTTAAAAGCAACTGATTTGAACTAGACCTGTTAACAGGAATTTGGTCCAGTAATTAGCCTGTAAATACACAGGACTGTAACAGAGTAGGTAGAGGAGCTAAACATAATCTGTTGCCAAGCATGATTGCATATGTATGTGACAGTAATGTGGACTGGCATATACAAAGTTTAATCTAGCTATCTCAGGTAACAGTCACAGGATGATTTTGGCTCTAGCACACACCATACAGCTAAGTATATGATGATTTGTATGTTCATGTTGAAGTCCTTGTCCCTGTATCTCTGTTACTGTTGTTACCCAATCTAAACAGCTCAGGTATGGCTACCCATGCTGCCAAACATACGTGAGTTCAGGAGAATGCACTCTTAAACAATTCTGGCCAAGAACTGCCCCTCACTGCAGGGGCTGTGAAGGCTTCTTGGGACTGTTTTTTTTCTGAGCATTTCTTTGATGGAGTACTTACCCCCATTCAGTGCTGAGGCCAGCAGGACAGCTCCGAGTGGTGGCTGCTACTGCGTGTTCCAGTGAAAGCCTGAAAAACAAGAGATTTCAGAGCTGTGTAGCTGTACCAAGAGAAGCTTGAGAGTATCCACAGTTACAAAAAACAAACAGTCCTTCTACCAAAATGTGTAATTTCTTACAGAATAAAGATAGTAGCTATAGCTGTTAAGATACTAGGTGTTCTCCCATCATACCAGATCAGTATACTCAGTTGTTCCTAGAATACACATAGCTTTGTATGTCATATATTGTATAAATATTTTAGAAGTTTGAAGTAAGGTTTTCAGGATTATAGATCAGTCCAGATTTAGTCTGGACTAAAGGGTGTTTAGGTTCCCATTTTATTGATTTAAAATTTTTGTTGGTGGGTCTTCGCTAAATTCACTGGTATTTTATGGACTGATGCCTAGAAAGCTTTTTCAATTGCAAAATTAAAATATAAAGCATTAAGCCTCTTCTGCCCACAGAACAGTTCTGATGAGCGGTCATTTAACTCTGAGCTCTTAAGACACTCAGTCCAAAAACCTGTGGAATTCCCAGTGGAGTTTCTCACAACGTACAAAAATGCTTAAGGCTGCTTGAGGGAGAAAGAAGAAAAGGTCTAACATTAATTTTGAAGGGGGCTACCTCATGTTTTATGATTCTCTTTCCTGCAGCAGTTCTCTGGTGTAAAACCGTTTAACAATTACACCCAGTTAAATAGTATGACTCTACTGATCCTTTCATTTACCAGCCTTGGAAATGTAAAAGTGTGGGGCAGCCTTTCAGAGATAGAAAAGATGCAAAGGGAGGGAGATTGCTGATAGAAAATCTCTGGGAAGGCCCTGTGATGATGAACACAGAAACCTTCAAATGGGAGTGCAGTTTAAAACGCTGTTCAGGCACCTATTCCTCGTATCTCAAGAAAAGTAATGTTTTTTTTAGACAAGTAAAGTGGACCCCACTTTAAAATGGTTAGGAAATAAAAACACAACAAGAGAAGTAAAATTCAGTTAGAGCCACTCCTGCAAAGTGCTGATTTAATTAGAAGTCAGTGAGCGCATTTTATATTTCACTGGAAGTGCCTAATGGGAGTAAATGCTTATTGCCTTGTGTGAGCAGGGGCTGAATTCTGGGCAATTCAAAAAGCTTGTAACTGAGTCCAGTGGGAGCAAGACCAAACCATAAGCATATATTAATCCTTAATTTACTGTATATGCATGGAAACTGGTTTTGCCCACAGATGAGTAAAATAATTTAAAAATGGAACAATGGCTGGCCAGATTTTGTTTTAGCTGCAATACACATGAAGAAAATCCTCCCTGCTTTCTACTTCGCATAATCTGAATTTACAGGAGGGTGTTTTGTGTCAAATATTTATCTGAATTGTTGCTTTCTCCAGTGTTACTGGTCTTACTGCATAATTTATCAGTGACCTGCTAGGTCATGGTGAGTAGAGCTTTCAATCCATTCTAATGTACATAACAATAAATTGCGAGTTCTTTTTAAGCATTAGCCAGTAGAAGTTGCCCTCAAGTACAGTGCTGATGCAACGCACAAAAGAACCAAAGGCACAGAGCAGGGGAATAAATATTAGGAAGTATGTTTGCGTGTCTGAAATGTAACTGCAAACATAACAGTTACATTTCTTAGAGAAACATTAGACAATGAAGAGGGTGAGTTCAGTTAAAACTCCATCTGGGAGGACAAATATTTGTTGTCTGACTCCTTTATTTAAAGCAAAAGGATTCGTAACAATGAAGATGCTTGGGTATTTATGCACCCCTAATGCTAAGACCATCCACGCTCACCTAAAACCTTCACTTACCTATTTCACTCAGTAATTTATTACATCTTTCAGTGACCTAAAAGATTTTTCTCTACTTGGTTTCTGCAGATAACATTTGCCTTACTTTGTTCAGGACTGTGGTGTGTAATGACACACAGTTGAAACAATACAATAAAACCTACTGAAAACTTCACTTTCTAATCTCAGCAG